AAATTGTTAATCAAAATATATCTGTTTATTCCTCCTAAAAAATTGACGTCATCGCAAAATTTTGTAAAGGAAAACCTGATTTAAAACACCCGCGAAGAACATTTCTTTACATTTACTTCAACATTACATTCAGATCTTTATTTCAATTTATTATAGAGATATAAGTGTATATTTTATAAAATAAAATTCGCAACATCAAATTTTATAGTTTTTCGAAAACGCTGGTATGAAATACCTTCGACTTTTTTTTGACATCTTTGGTTTATAATGTACGACAGTACGTTATTTAAGCTTTTTTGACAATATGTACTATCCGGTGATAGCTACAAATAGTTTAAATAGTCTAGGCTAATGAACGATTGTTCATTTTGATATCGACACACGAACCTATCAAATATTAGGTATGGAAAGACATCGTTACTTTCAAATATGTGTACATATAATATGTATGTAAGTGTACCAAGTTGAGGAGCGAGAAGAGTTCAAAAGTTGATGTAAAATCAATGCGCAGGAAATTAAAATCGCTCTACGATAGTGTACGGAAGAAATTTACTTAAAAATTTAATAATGCCTGGGTTTAAACACAAATTAATATGAGTCATAAAAATTTTGAAATACTGATAGTTGCTTTAAGTTGATGGCAACATTAATTCCACATGGTGAAACTCAGCATTAGTTAGTTACTTACTGAAGAACCGGGTACTGTTTTTGTAACGGAAAGAAACATAATTATAAGATAACGTTATGTTGCTTCTATCAGAAAATTAGTGCTTTATTGACTGAACACATTAGAGATATTAAATATAATTTGTTGGAGCCTCGAGGTTGGGAAGAGATCATTGTATACGAAATCGTTAGTGGCTCATGTTTATTATTTCTGATCGCTAAGTAGTTGCCACGCACTTGAACTTTTGTAGTCATAAGCACATGTAAATTTGTTAATTTTATTGTAGCAAGTATGTGTTAAAATAGTAAATACAACCATAGAATCGAAAGTGTTTTTTTGGACCACGATCTACATTTACAAATTTATGTTAATAAGTACTAAAATTTGCTAGATAAATTTAAAAAAAGTGAGATAGTGAGTGATATTTTCAACACTGCTGCACATATGGGTATACGATAGATAGTATAAATTTGCAACACACAAATATTACGTAAATCATAACATTGTATGTATATGTTGAAAATAAAGTATAATTCAGTGGATGGTGTGGGCCAGATAGGAAAGTCGTAAAACGTACGCCAATGAACATTTGGAACATCTTGTTTACAACGTAAGGTAAAAACATACGAGAGAAATCTAGAAATATCGTTTGAACATAATGCTAGCTGTGTTTTTTGTCTGCATAAAAAGTCTTCCAAAATTGGATTGTATCTGCTTAAATTTGTTGTATAGTTAGCATTATTTCTTTTCATTAGTGAGGTCAAAACTGGACTATATTGCCTTAGTTTGGTCACCTATATATCAGGTACATATTCAGCACTTAGAATCGGTGCAAACGACATTTTTAAAATTTCTCTCATATCGAATTGATGGTGTCTATCCTGTTCGAGGTATAGATCAGTCCCTTTTATTATCTAGGTTCGACTTCTTGTCTCTTGCATCATGTAGAAGGATTATCGCATTAAAGTTTCTGTTCAGTTTGGTCAATAACAATATCGATTGTAATTACTTACTTAGTAAGCTGAACTTCCTTGTACCAAGAAGTAACTCAAGGCAATTCCTCATGTTTTATTGTCAAAGGAAGAGAACTAATGCGTCAGTTAAATCGCCAATTAACTTCATGTGCGAATTATATAACAAAATGATTTTTTGATGATAGCTGTGATCTACATGCTGATTCATCTCACAAAATACGAAAGTGTTTGTTGGAGTGTTCGTTAGAATAGTGTTGGAATTTTTAGTTTTGTTTGATGCCTTGTGCGAATGATTGTTTTGTTTAACTTAATTTTGTAGTTTTAGGGTATATTTTGCTGTTTCCCTGTAACTGGGTGTATTACCTGTTGGGAATAAATATATATTATTATTATTATTATTATTAAGATATATGTATTTACTAACTATGAAACAAAAGTTTTTGGATTTTTACTACTACTAAGTAGATCGATTGTTGTAAAATTTTATATGTACAGCCTGTTATTGAAAGGTACGTAAAAAATAAAATCGGCAATTGGTCTCGAAGTATAGGTGCTAAAAGTTAAAAAAAGTTCAGGTAAAAGTGTTCTCCTTTTAGAGATAAAAATTATTAAAATTTATGTCCAAATTCGTTCTACGAATTAAATGTTAATTCAATTTTATAAAATAAGATACTGTTGCACTTGAAGTTTATGAATCCGTTGGGTTTTTATCCTAGAGATCCACATTTTTGGAAAAAAAATCAAAATTGAATGACAACATTTTACAATTTAACTTTGAAATTTCACAACCGATTGTTCTGAAATCTTGCAAACATTTTAAGGTGTTCTTAGGCATAGTAAATAGTTAATCAAAATTTATCCCTTTTAACCGCCCCCAAAAAATAACGACATCATCTTAAAATTTTGCCGAATAAATATTACCTAACTAAATTATATCAGATCTCCTGCATGTGTAATTAAATCTGTGTTGAGGTATTACCCTAGACATGCAGACCTAATGTTCTGAAATTTTGCAAACATGTTAAGTTGTCGTAAGCATGGTGAATCCGTAATCAAAATTTATGCCCCCCCCCCCCCCCCAAAATTGATGACGTCATCTCAAAATTTAATGACACAAAACATGAATTAGGAAATTGAGTTTTTTTTTATCAAATCAAGAACAGCTTACTCTATTTTCACGAAAATGTGTGTAGACAGTCTAGTTATTAGTTGTATTACACTGCGTCATCATAAAATTTTGTTACAGAAAAACTCACTTGACACATACACATAGCATACTTCTTTACCTGGTCAGCAGTCCACACATATTTTTATTTTAACTTATAATATAAAGAAATTATTAAGACGTGAAATTTGCAAAATTAAATTTCGTAATTTTTCGAAGAAGCCGTATTTGTTTGATTGTACTCTATAGGCGAGGGAACTTATATCGAGATACCCCTTGGAGATTTTTTTTTTTAATTTTGTAATATTAAAGACGATCAAATTAAGTTAACCTGTTGCTTATAACTTCAAGTAGCTTTTGACAAGTGGTTTTTGAAGTGCATGACATTATTTCCATTTAGTTCTCCAGATTTTACAATTTTGACGAATAAATGTTCTCTAAATTTTGTAAAAGTAATACCTGCATGTGTGATTTATGAATCCGTGTTGGGTTTTTACTCTTGGCACTAAATACCTCCATTTGGACAATTTCATTCAAATTAATGCATCAAACGGTAATAAAGTATTCTTACCAATTTCTAACATATTACTAGTTATAATAATTGTGTATTTCATTTTTAAATAATATTTCTGTATTTACGATGCATAATAAAATAATGCAGCTTTTGATGCTGATTGGTTGAAAAAATTTCCACTTATTAATCTGCTTGGTTAGTAAAGAAAAAAAAATTTCGAGCAAAATCAGTAAGAGGACAGAATTTAGTACGGTTACCACAGCAATTCTTACTAACCAAGCGAGATTAATAAGTGGAAATTTTTTCGGCCAATCAAAATCAAAAGCTGCATCTTTTTATTATGCATCGTAAGTACAGAAATATTATTTATGTTTTGATGAAAATTTTTAAAAATTGACATGAAATTTGTACTACAGACTTGTTATTTATTTACCTGTATGTATTTGCAATTTTTATTTAATAAAATGTGTATTTTGTAGAAATATGTATTACTTACTTAACCAAGTAAATATATTGTTATTTGACCATTGTACAACGAAATATATCATCAAATTTAAATATAAAATTGACGTAGTGACCTAATGACAGATATCTACATTTGCAGTGCCCTTAGAGGAAAATGACACGATTGAGTTAGTCGAATGTGTTGTATTACTTTTTAATACTATAGCATTAATTTTATCATTATTCGTAAAGTACGTAAATTGAAATAAGCGGCAATATTTTCTCCCTTGATTGTTTTGTAACAAAAGGAACAGTTGGAAAGATTCAAAGATGTTTTCAAGCATTCACCATTTTTCTGTAAAAAAAATCGCCTTTAATAGTTATCATAATAATCACGTAAAATATCAATTCACTGTCTGCATCACTGTCTAACTTTAGGCAATAAAAGTTAAAATTTTACTAGAGTTAAATTCAAACACCTAAGATAAATTAGGAACTTTTCAATTCAGTATAATATAAGAAGTAAAAAATATTACGACAAACAAAAATACAAAAATAACATCAAATGAGATGCTCAAATACTTAGTTAGATCACCTTCTGCCAAACAAAAACTAAATCTTATCACAGAAATTTGTTATTGTTCGGATTAATTGTTACAAGTTATCTTATTTGATCTTTGAATAATAGCAGCTTTCAATTCTTCCAAATCTCTGTAGGTTCTACTCGGGCACAGGAGGTCATGTAAATAACCCCAATAAAAGAAATCGTTTGAATGAATTTTATCAAAACTACCTAACCAATGACAACGACAACCATTATGGTGGTACTAATTTCGTTCCATATGAACGTCACTCTTGTCAAATATATACTAGTAGTGAGTTTAGATATTAACTGTACATACCACTCTAGACTGAAAAATATATTGAACACTGAAATATTTTTCAGTATTTCGGCTTTGAAGTTTTTTTTTTATTGAGATCTATTTGTTTCATTTTTGCTACCCTGTTCCCATGAAATCTATCAAAGTTCTTTTTTTTCTAGCAGATATATCGCCGTATTTTCTTTAGTACTTTAGTGTTAAAAACTTTGAAAATGTTTCCACCACACTAAAACTGCTTTAAAAATAATATGATCTATAAAATAACAAGCACAATACATATGCATTTTTGTAGTAGGCTGTTACAATAATGTACAAAATGTATTTTGTAATTACTAATATGAGGAAATTGTTCTAGTACGGAAAGCGGCTGGGAGAATCCATTTCGACCTGGAGGCGACTTGAGTAGAGAAGCAGACGAAATAGTAGAGTTAATAAAAGGGGGCAAACCAATAACGCCCACACCAGATAGTACTGCGCCCCCTTTACCTTCCTTAGATGAGCCAGACACACAAAAGAACCAAACAACGGCGAACAATGTTGCAGAGCCAATTACGCAAAGTCCAAAAAAAGCAACTGAACTGAACGCCGCCCCCAAAAGTGCGAACGGAAATGTACAGAACGACAACAAGCCTGCCGCCCCCGGAGCTGTTGACGTTAAACGAGGGACAATTAAACCAGATGGGGAAGTCGAACATGTTACGATAAAAAAGAAACCTAAGTGCAAGTGCTGTGTTATACAATAACTGGTGACGACATAGTCAATAGACTTGTTACTGTTAAAATATTTTATAGATATCGTGGTGTAAAAATCTTTTATTTTTCGATTTTCGAACGATACATAAGTTAACTGTGATGTAATTTAGTACAAATTGTTATCTGATTCACTGATCGACTACAGAATCTTTAAATGTGCGTTTGACATAGAATTATTTCAAATTAAAATATTTTCAAGAACACTTCTGCAATTTAATTTTTGCAATTCATGTCAAATGTACATGTGATGAGGCCTAAAATTATTCATGTACATAGTAATCACCTGAATCTCACAGTGAAATAGTTTTGAGAATAAATTAACATATCATGTCAATAATATTGTACCGTGTTATTCAGACTTGGCGTAGAGAGAAAAACAAAAATTGCATCGATTTTGGGATACGCTGTAACGTGCGATAAACAGCACAAGTTGACAAGTTTTAAGATTTAAAAGACATTTAAGTTAACACTTTATCATTATAATTTGGACAGTCAGTACGGCCAAGTACAGATAAGGTGAGTGAAAACCTACAGGTACATTTCTCGATGTTTCTATTCCAGTGTTCTGTATTATAAAGTATAAGTACATTTGTAATTGTAAAAATACTAATGAACAAGACGACTGAAAATTAAAGATGCTAGATTATATAGTTATTGTAAATAAAATATACCTTCAAGTCGATCATTGGGTCAGATAGTATTATTCAGCTAATCAACAGGACGCAATATAATTTAAATATATAAGTGGAGTATAATTTCATTTGCTTTTTAATAAGAGATTTAAAAAATCGAATTTTAAATTTTTTACACCACAAAAGCTGATGATGCTTAATATGCTTTAACCAGTCACACAAATACTAGTTGTGCTATTCTGTTGAAGTGAAGATGCTTAAAAGGTGCATGTTTCAATCTGAATCTCTACTTAATTTTCAAAGCAATATTAGTGCTAATTGAGTATATTTAATTATAACAAAAAATACAGTGCTGACAAATGTTTTATTTTTTCTTTGTTTTTATAAGAAATTTTAAAACATCAGTTTTAAAATAAAATTCTAGTCAAAAACTTTTCTTATGTAGTATAGATTGCTGCAGTTTATTTATTACTCGACATAGAGAATGTGATATGTTTTGTTCTTGTTAAGTATGTTATTTGTATAATTTTAATTTGTTGACCTAAGAAAATCATTTAAAAGATAGAACAAAGTAAAAATAAAACAAGTTTTGTCTGGACTCAGTATAAGATAAAAAAATGTGATTACATACCGATATATAGCTCTATATAAAAAAATGATATTTTTATTATATAAGATCATGTATTATCTTCTGAAGATTGTTGTTTGTGTTTCATTTTTAATTTTCAATAGGTGAGTCATTGTAAAATTAATTTACTGAACTGTGAATTAGTAAAAACAATTGTGCTAAATAGTGTTTTATTCCATAATAGATGTAAAAAGTTTTGCTATTTGTAACAAGACTCAAAGAAACACAAACAACTGTGCTAGTTTTAGTTTTAAATTTGTATAAACTGTACCTACAATGTGTCTAGAATTGAATATATTACAAGTATTTTTTTATATATTTTAGCTCCTCATATACTTTTTTAATATTGTACGACAGAAAATTTCGGAATAACGGTGTATTGAGTAGAAAGATTTAGTTATGTATGTTTTAATACTATTTAACTTATAAATGTTCTTCTATTTACATATAAGTATGACATTCTACCTAGTTATTGTTGTTAATATTATTTGTTGTGTTTGTGTGTCTGGAATGAAAGTCGGAAATCAAAACTGATCGGCATTATTTTTGGTAAATGAAAAATAATTGATAAAAGATTATTAAAAATTGTCAGGAAGATCTGTCACAAAACGGTTGGTAAGTTTCATTATTTATTAATGAAATTTATTTGTAAAATATGAAGTGCAGAGATAATTTAATATTTTTAAACATAAGTACATAACGTCCCTTGTTTATATGTGTATGTAAAGATTGCAGCTTACATGCTTATGATGTATAGATTTTAGATTGTAAATTCATCAAGTTTGTTTTTTTTTCAAGCACTCCAAAACTCTTTTTTAATGATATTTTACATAATGAACTTTATATGATTTATATATTTTACTCTTTTGTGTATTATATTGTAATATAAATCTAATTTGTATACCAAGCCGCATAGCATTAAATCATTTGTGATGTCACAAACTTTACACTGTTTGTTCCTAACCCTATCTAATCTAATACTATTAAACGAGCAAAGTTTGTATACAGGGTGCCGCATCCAAGTCTGGATATAGGGAATTAACATGCGAATTGGTTTTTATTTTATAATATCTCCCCAGATCACTTTAAAGCTATTATTGAGTGATGGCTTTGTGGAGGTCGAAGAGGGCTATCGGCCAGTATTTTTTTCAAATCGTTGCATCGCGCTCATTCACTGTAAAAAGGTTTTAAAAATCGTATTTTGAAATTCGCGCCCGATCCGAATTGTCGCGAAGTGTTCCGTCGTACTGTCGAAGTTCGGCGATCGCGTATTTTCATTATCCATGCAAAATTCAAATGTCAAAGTGAAATTAGAAATTATTCTCATCAGAAATCAACGAACAAGTCAAACTGAATTATTTTATCCAGTGTGATGATTATTGTAGGACAAATTAAACGGAATAAATGCACAAATTGATCCATTCATTCGTCATAGTGCGCGACCCCGTCAAACGAGCCATCTCGAACTACAATCAGACCGTATCCAAAAAGCCCAAGATGAAGACTTCAAGACTTCGAGCAGCTGGTCTTCCTCAAAACCCCATCAAAGCCCATCGGCAGCATTGCGACATTTTCTGGGAGCCCTCAAGCTAGGAATGTACTCGGGCTGCCACACTCAGTAATCACTGAACGACTCAAATTGAATTATTTTATACAATATGACGATTATTGTAGGTCAATTTAAACGGAATAAATGCACAAACTGCACAAAATATTTTATTAGGTTATGCTATGTTCTACTGCGATTAGATGAAAAAGCGGGGGCCTGCATGTTCTTCAACAGTTAATTTAATTAGTAGGTAATTTGGATAAATTTCACCCTTTTTTTTGGAATCACTAAAGATTGGAAGTCAATTGATTTTACATTCGTTAAGCAGGGATGGATTTTTTGCCTCCAGGAAGCATCTTCATTACAGGAAATTTTTGAGAGAGAAATGTAGAACATTGACTCATCAACATTTTAAAGTATTTTTCTCTATTACGAATGTGTTTTAGGATTCAGAAACTTTTGTATTACTGTTTTATTTGTTTATTGTGTTAACAACAACAAAAATAAAAATAATATTTCGCAAAATAAAGTTACATTTATTTTCAAAGGTGATAAAAATTACATAAAATCAGGTGGGCACGACGTTTTCTAGGGGTCTTAAACAGATGAGAAAGAAGAATTTCAAAAAGCATCATGACAAAAAATTGAACCCTGGGGACTACTTCTCACATATAGAGTTTTACGAAGGAACGCTTGAGAGAATCTAGGCTGATGGAGAGTTTTTGAGGAAAATTTGTTTTACTGACGTTCATTTGGTCTTAAGGGAAGTTATAATCGTCAGAACGATCAAATTTGAGCATTACACAACCCTCACGTGGTCCATGACCTTCGTTATCAATGGCGTGCAATTGTCAGTGTATGACTGGGGCTTCTAGGACATCATGTCATTGCACCTTTTTTCATCGAATCCGGATTGAATGCTCAGAAGTAGGATAATATGCTAGCTCAGCAAATACTTCCTGGGACTCGAAGGGTGCGGCATCTGCAGCAGGTCTTTTACATCCAGGACCAAATCTCCAGCCATACAGTTCGCATAAATGTTGTTTATTTGAACCAGTATTTTTCCGCAATGTTGGAATGGAAAGTTTGCACCGCCCCATTGGCCTGTGCAATCGCCGGATATAAACCCCTGAGAATTTTTTCTTTGGAGATTTCTTCACGACCATCTGCATTCAGACAAGCTATACAAACAGAGAAGCGCTGAAACAAGCAATCCAGCAATATTGTCTTCAGATTTCAACTAAAATGCTGATCAACACGCGTAGGAGTTTTGAAGATTGGCTTACTTACTGTACAGCTGCTGAGAGCAGTCTTTTTGAGCAATTCTTGAAAATAGTGCAATACTTCTCCAAATTCGTACAATATTTCATTACTTCATTCATCAACAATTGTTAAGTTTTGTTATTTGTAGTTATCTAAATGGTTCATTAAAAGGTCCTCTTCAAAAGCGCCAGCTATTTTGATGGTAAATCTTATCATCACACAATAAGAAAAGCGGGCCCTCGCTTTTTCATCTAATCGCAGTAGAACATGGCATTTTAATGAGATTTTAGTAATAAAGACTCGATCAGCACCAGCAACAACCTAATAAAATATTTTGTGCAGTTTGTGCATTTATTTCGTTTAAATTGACCTACAATAATCGTCATATTGGAAAAAATTATTCAATTTGAGTCGTTCAGTGATTACTGAGTGAGGCAGCCCGAGTACATTCCTAGCTTGAGGGCTCCCAGAAAATGTCGCAATGCTGCCGATGGGCTTTGATGGGGTTTTGAGGAAGACCAGCTGCTCGAAGTCTTGAAGTCTTCATCTTGGGCTTTTTGGATACGGTCTGATTGTAGTTCGAGATGGCTCGTTTGACGGGGTCGCGCACTATGACGAATGAATGGATCAATTTGTGCATTTATTCCGTTTAATTTGTCCTACAATAATCATCACACTGGATAAAATAATTCAGTTTGACTTGTTCGTTGATTTCTGATGAGAATAATTTCTAATTTCACTTTGACATTTGAATTTTGCATGGGCGTCGTCTTCGTTGATTCACTATTAAAGTCTCTCTAATTGATTACAATTGTCCGACTTGTCAAAAGGGAAAATATCAAAAGATGTCACTCCCTTCGGGAGTTACAGGAATCTGTAATTAATCCGTTTTGTTACGCGCCAAAACAGTTTGTGCTTGAATTGATATTATCAAAATGTCCAAAAAATATTGCTCTGTGCCTGCTTGTGAGGTAATCAAGGATCCTAGAGACCACAAAATAATGCACAGATTCCCTTCAAACACTGTGAACAAAAGGTTGTGGTGCAAAAAGGTTTTTAATGCTACAAGTAGGTACCCCCACATGAGTCTTTTACCTAAGGGAATGTATAGCCATTAAAACCATTTCAGGTGATAATATTGCAAATAATTTATACATTTGTGGTAAACACTTTGAGAGAAGTTGTTATTATGCAAATAAAAGACTTAAACCCGGCTCTGTTCCTACTTTGTTCCTCCATGGTTCCAAGTCACCACTACCTACTTCTTCAAGCTCCCCAGCAAGTACTAAACGTGATCCAGAATGCAGCTTCTGACCTGACCTGACCTGAGACACATTCCGATAACAATGTAAACACCTCAAAGAAAAACTTTCCTACTGCATATCCCTTTGCAGACCATCCACGCCCATGGCGTTGTGACTTTGGTGCCGGTACCGAAATTTTGCCTCTTTTTCAAGTAAAAACTGAAATACATGATGTCAAATTGTGTCAAAAAGTCAGACCACGACAGCATTTAGCCGACATTACAGATTCCTTTCCCTCCCGACGTATGCGCCCTCACATGTCACATTTAAGGGATTGGAGAGACTTTAATAGTGAATCAACGAAGACAACGGCATGGGTAATGAAAATACGCGATCGCCGAACTTCGACAGTACGACGGAACACTTCGCGACAATTCGGATCGGGCGCGAATTTCAAAATACGATTTTTAAAACCTTTTTACAGTGAATGAGGGCGATGCAACGATTTGAAAAAAATACTGGCCGATAGCCCTCTTCGACCTCCACAAAGCCATCACTCAATAATAGCTTTAAAGTGATATGGGGAGATATTATAAAATAAAAACCAATTCGCATGTTAATTCCCTATATCCAGACTTGGATGCGGCACCCTGTATATATATATGTAATGGGTTTCTCGAAAACGGCTCTAACGATTTCGATGAAATTTACAGGTTAGGGGTTTTTTGGGTCAAGAAATCGATTGATCATAGTTTTAACTTCTGAAAATTACAGCTTCATGCATTTTCAGCAATTTTCAGGCAGTGAATTATATTTGTTGCTAGGCAACATCAGATGACACTACACGAACACGAGATTGTTTTATTTGAGAAGTTTGGGTGACAGTCTGACAGTACGTTTGACGTACCTTTTTATCTTCAATTGTACGTACCGAAACATACTCCACTGTATAGAGGACGTTGAAATTCACCTCCTGAGGTGAGAAAATTTACCAAAAACTAAACAGTGAGCGGATAAAAGGCACACGAAAGTGTGTTGAATTGAGATTATTTTGTCAAGCATTCATTTCAGAGGTTCCACGGTCAGTGTCAACATGTGATCGTTTTCGGGGATGGGACCGTGTTATTTGAGTTTTTGGGCTCAACGTTTCGCACACTTTCGTAAATGGCATCTTCGGGAGCAGGGTTGAGATTGAGAAATTAGGAATAACACAAAAGAGCACGGTAACTCAGTATGTTAACCACACCAGAGGCGAAACTCTTCTGGCAGTAAGAATGTGGTTGTGACCTTTTTCTAGAGTCGAGAGAGAGAACTAGGAAAAAAAAAACGACAGAGAGAAAACTTGGGTAACAAATGAGATGTCAAACAATAATTCCAGTTTTCTGTTCTTTAATCTCTACATGTCACTTATCAGTGTTTAAAACAAAGACTGCTTATGGAATTTCTTTTTTAATGTGTATTTTTAAGTAGCGCGTGTACTTCAAAATGCATACTATACGCATATTTATCTGTCCTAATCTGATCTAATACTACCAAACGAGCCGAGTGAAACTCGGTCAACCAGATATTTACAATTTAAACAGAACAAAAATGCGATTGTCTGACGAAGATAATCCATTTCGAATATAACGACGTTTGGAAAAAATACATCACGTATTGATTCTTTTTTGTATCTCTTGATGATGATATTACTAGGAAATAAAGGTAAGTAAATGGATATCTAGTTCAGTTAAAATTGTTAATTATCTCGTACTTGTGATTCAGAAATTATAAAAATTTATAACTTTGGGAAACGTAAATAAGTCTTCCAGTAAAATACAAATAAGTGACCCTTGTATTTAATAGTTACATTTGGTGAAGTGTGAAGTTAAAAATATTTGAAAAGTGTAGATGGTATGTATGACGTTCCGGGCGTGGTAATTCGTGTTGCATAAAAATCGGGAGCAGTAAAGACAGTTTTCTAATCAGATGAATGTCACACGTAAACGGAACTACTCATCCCAAACTTTTTTTAATACTTGTTTAGTTTTTAGCAAATTAACCGTAGTTCCCTTTTTACCTATGTTCGTATACAGGAACGAAAATAACGAAGCAACATCATAGGTAGGAAAAAGAAGAGGACGAGGGAATTTTTGAGGTGAAGAAAACAGAACATCAATTAAAGTGCCAAAACACTCAAGAGCACAAATACAAGATTATAAAGCAGATATGCAAAAGACGTAAAGAGTAGTGGAGGAAAATGACAACAGAAACATACCAAGAAACTGATTGTTCCAGTGGCATGTTGGAAAGAATTTTCCGAATACTAGGCATAAAACATAAATATATTATTATGTAATTCACAGTGGTTGGAAGAAATTCAATTACAAGTAATTCATTACCACTGCAATTTAATTCCTTTTCAAGTAATGAGTAATTGTAATGCATTACTGTCCAAAAAATGTAATGAGGAATTGCAACGTATTACTTTTTTTGAGTAATTCAATTACTTTAACCCCAATACTAAAAAACATTTTTTTGTTTTTCTCTACGAATCGTTTACTTGACCTGCTGGGATTATTATACCTGGTTCGTCCCCACAAATTAAGATTAATCCAGTAGGGAGTGAAAATCTAAAACGAGTTTAGGACAGAATTTGTTAAGAACCGAGGTAGCCATAATATACATAAGCTCTTCATCATTTTAATGGTGAGCTAAAGCATGTTCCAGAATAGGGAAATACATATAAACTTCTGCTCAAGTTTTTGCCAAAGTATACGTCCGATTGTAATAAACTTCAGACCGTTGTAAAAACCTTACCCAGACTGCTTTTCCGTTTTTTAAATTTTGTTGTCAAAAAAAAAACTACAACGCGTTAAAATTGTGATGAGTATGAGATTATCTGGTTTTCGCTATTTATGGATCAATTTTAAATTTTCAAAAAGGTACTGTGATAACCCAAACTTCCCGCCTCAAAATTTGACCTTGAAACAGTTCGAAAGGCCCGCGAAAAATTTAAAAATTCAAAGTTTGGCCTTGGCTGTGATCGTCTAACAAATGAGAACCTACGTTGTGTGTTTTTTTTTTTTTGGTTTTGAAAAATGGCGGGAAGAAGTTCTTTCATACAAGTGCATACACTGTCGAGAGCGCAAGAAATAATAGGCAAAAAATTGTTTTGGAGGGCGAGTACGGCACCCTCACAGGGGGAAAGACGCTTCGAAGATTTACTCCTCAGCGCAAAAACCCCCTTTGGTTTTTATTCCCGGACGACATATATATTACATTTCAAACACCTTAAGATATGGGAAAGAAAAACACTCGCGAATTGACAGACATACACACACGAAAAACGAACAAACGGAAACTCTGTACATCTGTTTGGAATCAATGCAAATATTTGAATATCACAAATTTAGTAAAACAAAGCAAAAGCTGAATCAAGTAACTGGATGCAAGTACACAAGTTATTACAGGCGTGTGGCGGCCGATCTCCCTTTCCCTTTTTTTTTTGTTACGGCAGTTAACAGGAGCACAAGAAAAGTACCCCTGGAGCGTTGTAGCATAAGCGGAGTCTGAGCTACCGGTCTGGAACTGTTCTCCCCCCGCGACGATGATTCTATCTATCGCAAAGCCTACCCGACACGCATATCCCATGACGAACTTTGCCCTGCGGAACTAGGCCATTACGGTCGTCCAACCCGCAAAGATCTCGACTATTGGGCCAAATCGAGAAATTCACAACGTCGGCGGCCGCCCCCTGAATCTATCCAAACCTGTGGACTTGTACAGGTGGCGCGATAAATCTCGCCAGCTCGACTAGGAACCAAACCTCGCTTCTGCCACGTTTTCTGTGTCATTTAACCTCGATTCCATTTTAAAACATTCAATCTCTTATAACTCTGATGTTAACAACAACTGAACAAGTGTTAAAGTTTCAAAGAGCAATAAACAACATTTAAATTCGCCATACAATCTTGTGAAATCTTAGACAACAAATAATTCTTATGTGGGATTAAAGTTGGACATCAAATAATTTATATGATAGAAAACATTCATCAACAAAGTATTTACAAAACAAAACTTAGCAAGGATTTATGAGACGAAAGATCTGGTGTGAAGTAAACTTGTACAAATAGAAATGTTATGTGAGGTTAGAACTGTAGAACATGAAATTTACGTTCAATTAAATTTATACAACAAATAAAATTACTGAGGTTAAAATTGTGAGATTAAAGAAATATTGTATGATGTGAAAATTTGCAGAGCTAACAAAATTTACATGAGATTAATTTTTGCCACACTTTATCAACGGTTCAAACAAAGAGTTTACATTATGCCAAATTATATCATGATCTAAATGATTGGTTACTTCAAAAATAATTTACTTTGAGAAGTTAAAATACTACGAACTGGTTACCCCAACAAAACACATAATAAACAAATACAAAAATATCCAATCATCGCTCCGAGGGAAAAAGCGTCTCGGTGATGTAAATTCCAAAATCGTTGCGAGGAAAAAGCGTCTCGGTAATGTAAATTTTCTGTAGCGTTGGGGGCATGCCT